GCGCGGCTGCTCGTGCTCCCCTTGAGTGTGCGAAAGGCGGGTGAAACCGCCTGCCCGCGGGGTCCTTCCCTGCCCGCCCGCGGGGAGAATTCGGAGTGACGGGGGAGTCCCTGGATGGCACCACACGGAGCCGGCCTTGGAGCTGCCCCAAGGCCCAAACCAGCACCTGGGAGCGCGCTTGGAAGCTGTGCTGGGTCTCAGCGCACCCCAGCCCTGCGTGGGGATCCCACAGGACCCAGTGACTTCCCTGGGCAACCTCCCTGGTTTGCCCAAACACTCGCACTGCCCCCGTTTGCCAAGCAGGTGGATGGACAGGTGGATGGGTGGATGGATGGATGGATGGATGGATGGATGGATGGATGGATGGATGGATAGAGAGTGTTATGGAAGTGCTGAAAGAGTGGTCAGGGCTTCTGCTGACATGATGTTACTTTGCTAGATCATATCCAACATGCAATAGCAAGCAGCTTATTTTAGTTAAACTTGTGCTCTATAAAATGTGCAAGCACCTAAAGGTGAGCTGAAACCTCATTTTGTGGGCGTATCCACAGTAAATTGGGTTTTACCTTGGGGTAGTAAAGCCTGTTAGCCTCTTGATAAGTTTCCTTGATAGCTCAATATGTTCAAACACGTTCAATATGTGCACAAAGTCTGTCTGCTGTCCAGGTACCATCTTTTGCTTATTGTGTTGGGGCATTTTGGTCTTCTGACTTGAGTGTGGGAAACGTGCTGTTTCCTACAGAAATGTGTTGATGATGACATCAGGGTTCCGTAAAACCTTATCAATTTCCCTGCTTGAGCAGGGGGGCTGGACTAGATGATCTCTAGAGGCCCCTTCCAACCTCAACCATTCTGTGATTCGGTGTGATTCTGTGAACAGGTTTGGGATAGATCGGCAGCTTCAGGATGTGTGGCATCTGGGCCCTGTTTGGGAGCGACGAGTGCCTTTCCGTGCAATGCCTGAGCGCCATGAAGATCGCGCACAGGGGGCCCGACGCCTTCCGCTTCGAGAACGTCAACGGCTTCACCAACTGCTGCTTCGGCTTCCACCGCCTGGCCGTCGTCGACCAGCTCTATGGCATGCAGCCCATCCGCATCAAGAAATTCCCTTATCTCTGGCTCTGCTACAATGGGGAAATCTACAACTTCAAACAGGTGCTTGTTCAAGCAGGTGTTGCGCAGGTCATGCCACTGTCTGGAACAGGTGTTGTGTTGACCACGCTGCTTTTTGTCTTAAAACTAGGGAGTGTTTGGAAGTGGTTTAAAACATGGACAAGAATATCAGAAAAATTACAATAATTAAAAAATGAGGTCATCAAATATTTGTTTTTTCATCAAATATTTAATATCTGAAAGCAAAAGGTGACTTGCACTGCAACACACTTAGCCTTTCATACTTAAAAAAAAAAGCTTTTTAATTGACAAGAGAGAAATACTATTTTGTAGATTCCAGTAGGCCACAAAAATATTAAGGAGTCTTCATCTTAATGCAGATGCTTGGCGGGATTTTTCAGGGATACCTAAGCAAATCTCTGGGTGGGGAAACAGTCATCAGCTCAGAACTTACTTCCTCAAGTGCCTAAATGTCCCCAATAGGAGGTGTGTTTGCTGCCCTTGCCTAACATCATGTGTGCCTTAGTCCCAGAGCTAAGATTATCTGCTCTGCCTATGCCAGACTCGTAAGGGGAAGTGATTCAGAGCATGTGAACTTGGGGTATAAAGTATCCAGTTTATAACTGGTTCTGAATCATGCTAAAATAAACGCTTAAAATGGATCATAAATTGAGCAGCAGAGTTAGAGAGATATGAATAATCTCAGATGCCTCAGCATTTCTGACGTTGGGGATTTTTGAAGTCCAGTTTACATTGATGCCATTGGGGATTTGACTGGAATGGGAATTAATCCTTTTTTTTTTTTCCCTCTAAATCTGTCTGTTTGGAAGGTGAGATGTACTGGAAGACAAAGTGTATGTGAAAAGAGCAGCAATCTGCGTCTTGCTGTGTTTTGCTTTGTCTTTTCTGCTGATGCAAGCAGTAAGGATTATTCTCAGTCATGCTACAGGCTGAATCTTGTGTGAAATTTAT